AGGAGAAAGTGCAATTTTACTGTACTGCCCTTTTCACATTTAATTTAAATAAAAAAGTGTCTGACACGTGGGGACCATAGAAGGGGTTACTGATGGGTTACTGACCCATCAGTTACTGACCCGATCTGGACCCCGCTAGACCACTCTAGGTTTGTACATGCGTTGTCCGCCCACCATTTTTTGTATATTTCATTTACTTTATTCGTAATTCGGGATATTAACCAACGTATATCAACGTAATTTTCAAAAATTCTTGGGGAGCCAGATCCTCTAGGTAGGGGTGTTCAAATGGTTATCGTGGTAATAACCAAATCAATTAAGTCTAAATTTCATTAATCATGGAATAAAATGTCTTAACCAAACCGTCCAAATTAACACGAAAATCAAATTAACCAAACTAAAGTTTAATTGATTTGGTTAATCGGATTAACCAAATAATATAACATTACATGAAAACAATTATCCTATTAATGAATAAAACATAACCATATGAATCATTATATATAAGCAATCATAATAAGACTAACCATCCATGATTATCATCATCATTCGAGTTAATACATCATTCATCATCTCTGCACCTAATATAGTTAGCTTACAACAAACCCTTAACATAAATATTAAATACATACAAATACCACTCATTAGAAAGTTAAAGCTCTCCTACAAAACACTTAAACTATACATAGTTTGGGGTGTCTGTCATGATATTGTACGTAATCCTAAAGTCTAGTAGTTGTCCAAAATGTTTTGGTTTAGTAAATAGATAGGCCCATTTAATTTTTGACCCATAATGTTTGTTGTGCACATGAAAATACAGTAGGAAGTCACGAAAGTTTGGTTTGGTTGGTTGCATGGAAGTATAAATAATTTTGTATATTATGTGTATCATTAATTGGTTTCATTGGTTAGCAGTGTTGAAACCAAACCACCTAAACTAAATAAGTTAAATTATTTAACCAAACCAAACCAATTATCCAAATTAACCGAATGCTACCTAGTTAATATCGTTACCATGGTAACTAATCCGTTTGAACAAGGAACTACCTAGCTCTGCCCCTGCATGAATCACGGGTCTGTTTTGTGTACTAGTGCCAAAAGAAGGAACTTTGAGCATAAGCTACAGCAAGGTAGCAGCATTTTCTGACACTAGTAGCTCTTGAAATGGTTACACGCAGGAAGATATCAAGATCATGAAAACAATGGGATTCAATACTTACAGGTTCTCAATTGCGTGGTCCAGATTATTACCAAGTAAAGCAAACCTGCGCCCTCCATCGTTCCCTCTCTTTATAATTACCTCTATTCCTTTTACTCAAAGGTAGTTGGTTGGATTTCAGATGGAAAGGTGAGTGGAGGAGTGAACCAGCAAGGAGTTGATTACTACAACAACCTCATCAACTCTCTCCTATCCAATGGTAATCTGAAAGCCCTTTTTTTTTCCTTTCTTTTCAAGCACAAAATCCCTTCTCTTTCTTTCACCGTTGGTTACCAGCAGTCAGTTAGTCATTCAGCTTCTTGAATCTGCAACTCCACTCTAGGGATCCAGCCATTTGTCACACTCTTCCACTGGGACACTCCTCAAGGCCTCGAAGACGAATATGGCGGCTTCCGGTCTTCTAGCATTGTGTAAGAACTTAACTCACCTAATATCTCGTTATCCTGCAGCTGATGTCATAAACCAGTTGGTCTCAATAACTCGAGTTGTTGCCCTCAAACGAAAGTCAACTCATGAGTTTGAAGTTTGCACAGGCCCACTATACCATGTGCTTGAAAGACAAGGGTTATTAATATTGGTGGTCGGGGAGATTCGAACACATGACCTTTTCGGTTCTAGGCTCTGATACCATGTCAATAACTCGAGTTGTTGTGAGAAAATGTTATGCTGGATATTATACCACTCTCTAACACAGCTGACACTTGAGAACAATTTCAATTACGATGCAGGCAAGACTTCACGGATTATGCCGACCTGTGTTTCAAGAAATTTGGAGACAGAGTAAAGCACTGGATCACATTCAACGAGCCTTGGACGTTTAGCTCCGGCGGTTATGCTGGCGGACCTCTAAGAGTCGCCCCTTTCCGATGCTCAGAGTGGCAGCTAGCCGATAGCACCGGTGGTGATTCTGGGACTGAGCCTTATGTCACTGCTCACCATCAGCTCCTCGCTCATGCTGCTGCTGTCAAACTCTACAGGGTTAATTATAAGGTGGAAAAAGTGATATATCAATCTTCTGCATTAGCCCCTGAAATGAACTCCATGTCAAACTAAGCTGATTGTCGAATCTTCAGGCAACTCAAAAAGGACTCATAGGAATTACGAATGTGTCATACTGGTTCCTGCCACTCTCTGATAGCGATGAAGATAAAAAGGCAGCTCAGAGAGCCCTGGATTTCATGTATGGATGGTGAGTGAATCGACACCCGGCCGGCCCTTCTCCGGTCGAATTGGTTGATCCCGGCCCATATCTGTTGCGAAATCATATATATGAACCTTTGAGGATGGATTTGGGTTGCAGGTTCATGGATCCTATAGTCAATGGCGACTACCCGGATGTTATGAAGACCAACATAGGAAGCAGCAGACTGCCACAGTTCTCAGCCCAACAATCAGAACTTCTCAAGGGTTCATTTGACTTCATTGGCCTCAACTACTACACTGCTTCTTATGCTTCCAACCATCCGCAATTCGACCCTCAGCGTCCCTCTATGTTCTCTGATCGTCGTCTCCAACTCTCAGGTAATCCTTCCTTGCTCCCAACTGTACGTCTTTGCACAACCTTGAAAACCAAAATCATTAACGAATGAATGCAAAAAATGTCTCCAACTTAATTTGCTGTCACGCGCGATCCTTTGCAGCTGAGCGCAATGGTGTACTTCTTGGTCCCAAGGTACGTACGTTTGTTTGTGCAATGTCTAACTAGAATCTAACTAAATCAGCCAATGATGAATCGGGATATTTAATTTGATGAACGTTTCGAAAAAAACAGGTGGGTTCAGGTTGGGTGTACGATTATCCCAGAGGATTTGAGCAGCTGCTAACCTACACCAAGACCAAATACAAAGATCCTGTCATATACATTACCGAGAATGGTAACCAGTTAACCACAGCTCCGTTAACCCTTTCCAATCCATTCAGTTTTTCATCCAACATGCACCCTTTTTTACGATGCTTTAAAGTATTGGTGATTTAGTTTTTGCTTTTAGGGTATAACTTGAAGTTGTACCTTTAACATTATGGTACAAGTTGGGGTTGTACCTATACTTTTTTGTAAAATCCTTTTATGGTACAAACTAAAGGAGCAATTCTACTATGCTATATAGTATTGGTGCTTTAATGTACAACTTGAAGTTGTACCATAACATTAAATGTACAAGTTTAGGTTGTACCATAAAAGAATTTGTATCACTATGTTATGGTACAACTTTACAACTTGAAGTTGTACCATCACATAAGGTACAAGTTTACGTTGTACCATAAAAGAATTTGTACAAAAAGTATAGGTACAATCTGAAGTTGTACCATAACATTAAAAGTACAATTTCAAGTTGTACCATAAAGGTAAAAACCTATAGCACCAATGCTATATAGCATTGTAAAATTCCTCGAAACTAAAGTTGTACCTTTATGTTATGTTGTACCAGAACATAAAGGTCAAATTCACTTAATGGTACAACTTCGATTTGTACTTTTAACGTTATGATACAACTTCACGTTGTACTTTGAAGCACCAATACTTTAAAGCATAGTAGAAGTGCTGAACTTACCAAATGTACTTTCTGCTATAGGAGTTTATGACGCCACCGATGAATCCTCGCCCATGGCAGAAGCTCTTCTGGATGTTTCCAGGGTTTCCTACTTCCAGGGCCATCTTGAAGCTGTTCACAATGCAATCAAGTGAGCCTATCCCAACTACTGAAGTGAAAGCAATTTTCCTGTAGACTAGCAATGTACTAAGGATTTTTTGCTCATTGTGCAGGGAAGGAGTGAAGGTGAAGGGATTTTTTGCGTGGTCATTACTGGACAACTTTGAATGGAGTGCTGGTTACTCCGCAAGATTTGGTCTTGTCCACATAGACTACAAGAATGGGCTGCAGAGACATCCAAAGCTCTCTGCCTTCTGGTTCCAGAACTTCCTGCGCCAAAATCGTCTCTCTTCACTAGTAATTAGTAAAACCATGCTGCTTTTGTTAATCTCTAGCTTGCTCTAAAAGAAATGGCTGAAGTTGTGGCTGTCAAGACTCAAGAGAGGTGAAGCTGAGGATGAACTGATCATGTCTTACCTGGCTTTAGTTCAGGAGGGTTGTTGAAGTTACAAGGTGGAGGTTCGAACCAGTGAAGTCGAGCAAGTTGGCGACAGACGAAATAAATTTAAATAGAGTCTATTTTAGTTTATGCTGTGTCGTTGTCGGACACGGACAAGTTTCATTTTGGTCCTTGAGTTCGGTTTCTTGTTAGTTAATTAAGTCCTCCAAATCTCAGAGCTGTTGAATTTTAGGAGCAGAACGATTAGTGGATGCCTGAGTTGTAGGGTAAACCTCTATTTCTTTCGTTTCGATATTCAATAATAAATTGTCAATTTACCCCTAATCTGTTAACACACACACTACTGATGTTGTCTTTTTCGCCTAGTTCATCATGTATGAGACCAAACTCTATTACCTCACTGTCCGACTCAAACAAAATGATAATTTTTATGTGAAAATCTCATTGTCCGACAGCAGTTAAATTTTGACGACCGTATAGTGATACTATCGCTTAACTGTATAACCAACAATTGTCGATTAACGGAAACTACTAATTGTCGCTTACTTGATTACCACCCCTTAATCAAATAACACAATAATATGACTATGAATATGTTGTACATTGGGACTGTCAAGTTTTAGTTCAAATTTTAACACAAGATCCTTCTAAAAGGCCATAGAGGAGAGCTGTCTGTCTGGATAGGATTCATGGTCCCAATCCTTCCATCGAACTCTAAAATTAAGGTCAAATCCGTACCTACAGAATTTAAATGTTAGGTGTGATTGTAGATCTTATTTCTAATTTCCTTTTAATCTGATAATATTCATTATTGTTTCTTTTTTCTGGTGAAATAAAAGTGATACCTATTGTAAAAAAGACGACGAAGAAGAAGATAGCGTTCTCAAATTAAACGTCAATAGATAAGTAGACAGTAGCAACGTACGACGTGGAGCTGCGTTTACCTCTCATCTCGCTCAGTGCAGTGGCGCCCTCATCTTTTACACTTACCTTGAACTTAAAAAAAACATTCGCCTCGCCTCCCTGAAGACTATAGTTAAGTTGATGATGCATTGCGATTTGCGACTCATGAATCAATGATCATTCCCTGGTCCCAACCATAAATGAAGTAGCCATCGCATAATGTTAGCTACCTAAACCCACCCACCATGCCATTTTAGCTGCCAGATCATTCATCATTACAATATCGTGCGCCATTGGAGGTACCCCTGCCTGCCTCTGTGTGCCCTGCAGAAAGAAAATGATAGCGTTCACTGTAGCAGCCTGCAGTTTTTTGGGCAACCAAGGTCGCCGGCCGATTGATGGCATCTCGTAAGATACCGAACCTTCCTGATTCTCCTTCTCCATCTCCATCTTCTTCGTCTTCTTCATCTGTTCCTTCATCGTTGTAGAGTTGGAGAGTCTTTGTTAACAGTAGCGGCCTCACCGGAGGAGTTACCGGCGTTTAAGTACCCACGGCAGGGCAATGCCAGACTGAGGAGGCAGTATTGCCGTCTTCGTTGCATCCCATTTACTCTGAAAGGTAATTGAAGTTTACTGACCAACTAGATTATAGTTTCATCTAATGTAATATCCTCTGCAAATGCAAACAGCAGCAGTTAGTGCAAGTGGCACCAAGGCATCATCTTTGAACAGCTCTCACTTCCCTTCCCATTTCATGTTTGGAACCGCTTCTTCAGCTTACCAGGTTGCTTAATTAGTTGATATGCTCACCCTTTCTTCATTCAACTGTTTCCCATATAAAAATGGACTAAAATGGATCGGTTCAAGTTTTTAGTATGAAGGAGGGGCAAGAGAAGGCGGCAAGGGGCCTAGCATTTGGGACACTTACACTCAAACACATCCAGGTCAAACAACTTCCCACCTCACAGTTCCCCACTAATTGGTTTCACAGTGCAATTTCCCTTTCAAACAGCTTTCTTCTTGTTCTTCTCCTCTTGGGCAGAATTGGTAAAGGACAGAAGCAACGGCGACGTTGCAGTTGATTCCTATAATCGGTACCTGGTATGTAGATACCACTCTGCATCATGGGTCTGTGTGGTGTACTACTAACAAAAGAAAGAACCTTGAGCATAAGCTACAGCAAGGTGGCAACATTTCTGACACAAGTAGCTCTTGAAATGGTTACATGCAGGAAGATATTGAGATCATGAAAACAATGGGATTCAATGCTTACAGATTCTCATTTGCCTGGTCCAGATTATTACCAAGTAAACCAAACCTGCCCTCCATAGTTCCCCCTGGACATTTACCTCTATTCCTTTTACTCAGAGTCAGAGGTGGTTGGTTGGTTGGATTTCAGCTGGAAAGTTGAGTGGAGGAGTGAACAAGCAAGGAGTTGATTACTACAACAACCTCATCGACTCTCTCCTATCAAATGGTAATCTTAAACCTTCTTCAAGCACAAAATCCCTTCTCTTTCGATGACCAGCCAGCTAGTCATTCAACTTCTTCAATCTGCAACTTCACTCTAGGGATGCAGCCATTTGTCACACTCTTCCACTGGGACACTCCTCAAGGCCTCGAAGATGAATATGGCGGCTTCCTGTCTCCTAACATTGTGTAAAACTAAACTCACCAAATATCTCCTTACTCTGCAGTCATTTCTCTACTCTGCTGACACTTGAGAACAATTTTATTATGATGCAGTGAAGACTTCGAGGATTATGCTGAGGTGTGTTTCAGGGAGTTTGGAGACAGAGTGAAGCACTGGATCACATTCAATGAGCCTTGGACGTTTAGCTCTGGCGGGTATGCTGGCGGACCTCTAAGAATCGCCCCTTTCAGATGCTCACATTGGCAGCTAGACGATAGCACCGGTGGTGATTCTGGGACTGAGCCTTATGTCACTGCTCACCATCAGCTCCTCGCTCATGCTGCTGCTGTCAACCTCTACAGGCTTAAATATCAGGTGGAAAGTCAATCTTCATTAGCACCTAATTGAACTTGACGTGTAAGTTAATTGAATCTTGAACACTTCTCAGGCAACTCAAAATGGAGTCATAGGAATTTCGAATGTGTCACACTGGTTCCTGCCACTCTCTGACAGCAAGGAAGATGAAGAGGCAGCTCAGAGAGCCGTGGAGTTCATGTATGGATGGTGGGTAGATCATCCCCCTTCTCCCATCAAATTGGTTGATCTCCATATCTTTTGCCAAAGCATGAAGCTTTGGGGATTTGGGTTGCAGGTTCATGGATCCTATATTCCACGGCGACTATCCGGAGATTATGAAGTCCTATATAGGAAGCAGACTGCCACAGTTCTCATCCCACCAATCAGATCTTCTGAAGGGTTCATTTGACTTCATTGGCCTCAATTACTACACTGCTTCTTATGCTTCCAATCATCCACAATTCGACCCTCAGCGTCTTTGTATGTTCTCTGATCGTCGTCTCAAACTCTCAGGTAATCCTTGTTCCCAACTGACTTGCACAACCTGAAACCAAAACCAACGAGTGATTGAAATAGTCTCGAACTTCACTGTCATGATTCTTTGCAGATGAGCGCAATGGTGTACTTATTGGTCCCAGGGTACGTTTGTACAAACTCTAAACTTAAAAGCTAACTGAATCAGTCCATGAATCAAAATATTTGATTAAGCCGAGAAACTAATGAACGTTTCGAAATAACAGGTGGGTTCAGGTTGGGTGTACGATTATCCCAGAGGATTTGAGCAGCTGCTAACCTACACCAAGACCAGATACAACGATCCTGTCATATACATTACCGAGAATGGTAATCAGTAACCATAGTTCCATTACCCTTTCCAACCCATTCAGTTTTTCATCGAACACTATCCTTTAAACCCTTACCAAATGCACCTTCTGCTATAGGAGTTTATGACAGCACCGATGAATCTTCACCCAAGGAAGAAGCTCTTCAGGATGTTTCCAGGGTTTCCTACTTCCAGGGCCATCTTGAAGCTGTTCACAATGCAATCAAGTGAGCCTATCCCATCTACTGAAAGCAATTTCCTGTAGGTTAGCAGTGTACTAAGGATTTTGCTTATTGTGCAGGAAAGGAGTGAAGGTGAAGGGATACTTTGCGTGGTCATTACTCGACAACTTCGAATGGAGTGCTGGTTACTCCCTAAGATTTGGTCTTGTCCACATAGACTTCAAGAATGGGCTGCAGAGACATCCTAAGCTCTCCGCCTTCTGGTTCCAGAACTTCCTGTGCCAAAATCGTCCCATCGAAAATTCATTAGACCCGTCATCTCAGAACTTGCAACTCGTGGATTCTATATATTAGTTGGAACATGTATCTCGTCTCTTTGCACTAGTAATTAGTAAAACCATGCTGCTTTAGCTTCTTGCTTATTCATGTAAAGCTTTTGTTACTCTCTAGCTATTTACTTACCAAACAAATTCAACTCCTATTCTGGTACGCGGAAATGAGTTTGGCTATGATGCAGAATGGAGTAAGCTTCAGCACCCTGCAGATGCTTTCTTATTCGTCCGATTCATCATGAAACGATTATAGCGCATGAAATTGAGATCAGAATCTGTTGACATCTTTGTCCGACTCGAACAAAATGACGAGAAATTTCCTGGAAAAGTTCAAAAGAGAAGTGAACAAATATCTATGTCCATAGAAAATATCTTCTTTCTCCAAACGAACACACAAGGAAATAAAGACCATTCTTCCCTCTACTCCATTATCCTCCCCAAAACAAAAAGAGAAAAAATGGCCACGTCGTACCTTCCTTTCTGCCCATCACCGGCTTCACTCGCCCGAAAGAGCTCAAGCTTCCAAAGCAGCTTTCTTTCTTCCCACCATCCCGTATTCTCCAGGAAACCATGCACTCAGTCTCCTCCTCTCACATGCCGGCCACCAGCAGCTTCTACTACAACCTCCTCTCTGATCACAGATTTCGACCTCTACGATCTCCTCGGAATCGATAGCTCAAGCAACCATTCCCAAATCAAAGTGGCTTACAGAGCGCTTCAGAAGCGATGCCACCCGGACATCGCCGGCCCTGCAGGTCACGACATGGCAATCGTGCTCAACGAGGCTTACTCTGTTCTCTCCGATCCGAATTCGCGCCACGCTTATGACAAGGTCTGAACTTTACGCCTCTTCATCCAAAGGGTCACTTCAAGTTCCATTCTTTTCTTGGTGATTTGGTCTGAAAATCGGATGTTGAAAACAGGAACAAGCGAAGCTGGCCGAGCTACGCGGGTATACAGGGAAGCCGCTGTACTCGACGTGGGTGGGTTCGGAGAGCGAGCAGAGAGCTGTGTTTGTCGACGAAGTGAAGTGCGTTGGTTGCTTGAAGTGCGCCTTGTTTGCAGAGAAGACGTTTGGGATCGAATCCGTTTTTGGAAGAGCAAGGGTCGTTGCGCAGTGGGCTGATCCTGAATCCAAGATCCATGCCGCCATTGATTCATGTCCTGTTGATTGCATCTCGTACAGTCTAATTAACCCCTCTGTTTTTCAGAACGTGAAACGGATTTTGGTTGTTTAGGTGGATGCTAATAAGGTTGTGGATTTGACAGCGTCGTGGAGAGAGCAGATTTGGCTGCCTTGGAGTTCCTGATGTCGAAGCAACCGCGGGGAAATGTGAGGATCGGCGCAAGCAATTCAGCAGGACAGCGAGTCTCGAACATCTTCGTTGATGTGAAGAAGTTCAGAAACAGAGTAGCAGACGCCACTGACCCGAACTCCTCTAGGGTCAGTTCTCAAAACTTACTACTCCAAATAGAAATTTATCGGGTGTGTTTGCTTCAGTAAATTGATGTTGCTTGCCGGAAAATGGGTGTCAATTGATTTTTCAGGAGGCGGACCTGCAAAGAGAGGCAAGGATGTCAGCAATTCAGACAATCAGATCACTCTGGTTGTACTGGCAAGCACCAAAGCATGCATCATCCACTCCACGCAGCTTGAAATTTCTCCCACTTCCACGACAACAAACATCAACCGATCCAGACATTAAGAAGATCCACCAGGCTGCTGAGGCAAGAAGACAGGCACGAGAGAGCACCGTCCCCGTTCGTCCTGCTGCAGTGAGTCCAGAACAGGATGAATACTGGGTGCCATCTACTCGAGGTCTTCCATCCTCATCAACTACCGACAAGAAAGCCGACGCAAAGTCAGCAGTGAAAGCTGGGTCGAGGAAGGTGAACAACGGGAGAAGATATGCAGTTGAAAAGGAGAGGAAGAGGAGCTTGACGATCCCAGCGGTGGCAGCAACAGTTGCGGCGGTTTTAGTTCACCTGCAAGTTGGGGGAAGGGAAGTGGTGAGCGGGGGATTGAATGAACATATAGGTGGTTCTTTTGCGCTTGATGTTGTGAACAGCTCGCTGATGCAGGTCTCATTAGCATGGATGACCTGGTTCTTTATTGGAGCCGCTGCTGTTGAGCTAGGTGAAGCCATCAGGAACAACAAATCATAGGGATGTAGTATATAGAATACAACTTTAGATGGATATTTTACTTGTATATGGAACTGGTATTCGTATAAATGTAGACAAACCCAAAAACTTAAATTACTTGTGAATTGTGGAAGTTATCAGAGGTCTGATCAAATCAGGTGACTAAGAAAAAGACTTCATAAGTTGACATATATTAATACAGTTCATCTTGTTCTTAATGATATGGTTCCACCATTCCAACTAGGAGGATGAAAAAGGTAGCCAACATAAGAATGAAATGACATCCTTACACCATTCCATCTTGGTTCAAATTCTTACATGCGACAATACATCAGTAGCAATATTTGGCAGTGCTGTGTAACAGCATTTGAGGAATCATCCAGTATCACCTGGTCCAGATAACATTCCACAGTTCCTTCTGAAGAACTCTTCTAGTACCGGTACTTGGTGGAGTAGTCCTTAGGTGCAATGACGAGACCACGTCCCTTCCTCGCTCCACGATACACCGTCTCCACAATGTCGACAAACTCCTGCTTGTCCTTGAGAGCCCAGTTGATCTTGTTGTTGTTTCCAGTGCCAAGATCGATCATGATGTGCTTGTTCCTGAAGAAGAACATAACTGTGGATGGATCGTACAGCTCGTACATTGTGTTGAAATCAGGCACCTCAGTGATGTCCACCAGGTATATCACCGCAAAGTTCTTCAACGTATCAGCGACAGAGGACAACACTTCATCCATCTGCAACCAAACCACCAAAAAGATAGAAACAATCTCTCAGAATCCAGATAACCAACAAACTCAGGCATAAAAGTCAATCAACCACATAGCACCCCCAATTAGACAAACAAAACAAAACATGATTGGCAGAAAAAGTTCACCCTCAAAACCGGACACTTAGAAGAGAATCTCGCACTAGAGAAGCTTCAATATAGTTAAGCAACAAACACTAGCGCACCACATTCCATAAGGGCTCCTGAAAGTTATAACGTGCTAGGCTTCCAATGGGATTCTTTGGTTCCCTGCATCTCCTGAAAGTTATAACGTGCTAGGCCCAGAGTAGTAATATGACTTCTGGGGAAATTCCAAACCAGGGCAATCTATCCTCTTGGTTGGATGATCGGAAACAAGGTTATCCTGATTATACGAAGCATTAGAATTTCGATACAATGATGAACAATCACCGGGAACAAAAATACGATCCTAAGCAAACCCAAGACGAGTCAACGTTCGAATATCAATCATAACCTAGGGTTAAACACGCAGCGGCCGGTTTCCAATCGGAACTCGGCGGGTGAAATCAGGATGTAGGGTTATTTCGATTTGCGGAGGAGAGAGGAACCAATTGCTTCCCTCTGAGGAAGAGCAAAGAGAGGGTGAAGCCTACCTGCATGCAGGTCTCATCCCAATCGTGGCCGAATCGGATGACCACGAGACGCTCTTCCTCGGCGAGGATGGCCTGATCGACGGCCCACCCTGAGTGTAAGTGCGGCAGCAAGTACGACATCCCCGCAGCTTTGGCCTACTCAGTCCTCCTCTCCTCTCCTCTCCAGTAAGTTGATCTTCCGGAAATTGCAATCCCTAAATTCACAAGGAAAGACTCAGTCGTTGGATATTGTGTTGTTTCGTCGTAGTCAGATAGCCGAGCCGAGCCGAGTGGCTAACTCTAAAGTAAAGGTGGAAAGATAGCTTGTGCGTTACGCACCGAGCGGGCCGGATATAAACCAACAAGAAACGAGGCCCGGCCCATTGGGGCCAACCCCGGAACATATGATTCAATAGCAAAATTGATTCAATAGAAACGATTGCCCAAAGCTGCTAGCTGCCTGCAATATCGCCATACGAATGCAGAAATTGGAGATGGAAATGAAATCGAATCAAATGTGAGTGTTGTAATATGAATTGTTACCTGCATGCAGGTGTCGTCCCAGTCGTGGCCGAAGCGGATGATGACGACGCGCTCTTCTTCCGTGAGAATGGCCTGATCCACCGCCCATCCTGAATGCAGGTGCGGCAGCAGGTACGACATTCTTCCCTCTTCCTCGCTCTCAAGCTATCTCCCGATACCTCTCGAAGCTTCTCTCAAAGCAGGCAACCTCCGCAGTTTGTGTATATATAGAGGGAGGGAGGGAGGAAAAAAGGCAGGCCGCTAAAGAAAGCTCCAGAAGCAGCCCCTTCCGCCTTCCAATTGGATTCTTTGGTTCCCTGCATCTCCACCACTCAGCCGGTGCCACATGTACCGTCAGTATATAAGAAAAGGGCAAAACGGTCATTTTCCTCGATTTTTTTCAATCGCAAACTTTGATCCAACAATTAAACTCATTTTGAAGATTAACTTAAATCCAAGTGTGGAGATCTTAATCACGGCAACTGATGAGTTTAGTTGCTACGAAGACAGTTTTTCTGACAGACTTCGAGCACAAGCAAACTGCTAGAAAAACAATATTCGAAGTAACTTCGATCCTTTTGTTTGAAGTCTTACAAATATTTAATCTTTCATCCAATGCCTTGAATTTGTATAAAAACATACATAATTTAACGTGGTAGAGGCCCCTGGACTCGATTCGCATTCATGCTTCTCGAATTGAGTTCCAAAGTATGCTTAACAAACACGTTCCCAGACTTTGGCATTTTCAGGCAGTTACCAAGTTTTGGCATAGCGTTTTGATCAGGTCCAAAAATGGTGTTCTGGACTTTTTATTGAGCTCCCAAGTACTTTAATGTGTAGAGGGACACTTCAGCTTCGAAACAAGTCATTGATCTCCAATTTCCATCTAGCCAATTGTAAGATATGAATCTCCAAAGTAGGCACCATGAAACTGTTTTTGCACTAAAACAGCATATTAGGTCGACCTAATCCTATATGAGGTCGACCGAAAAGTGCATGTCACCATAGCAAAGTCCTAAATTAATTATTTTTATTTTTCATTTTAGTGGTAGTGATAATGAGGTGGAAATTTTGATTTTTCTTTAATTGTCACGTCAAACATTTAACGATCAACTTTGAGAGTTGACTGCCACATTAGACAAAGTTAATGGAGTTGGACGGAGAGTGACCAAACTTGAATTGGTTTTTACCAAATCTAATGATTATGAATGGATTTAAGTATTTTGATTGACCAAACATAAACGTTTTTTGGTAATCTCAATAACTAATCATCATGCAATTAACCCATATAAAAACTTCCCTCCCAACATCACTCACACTCACGGCCTCCCCCCACTCCCCCCTCTCTCCCCTCTCTCCTCTTTGTACACAAACCGTCATTGCATACAGTGGGGCGATGGACAACATACCGTTGAGGCAGCCAAAGCGTCCTGCGATGAAGGCAAGCAGCGACAGAGTCACAGAGATACGGATACCGAGAGATGGTAGGCGGCGACGATGGCGATGGAGGAGGCAAGTGGCAAGTACAGAAGAAGGTGCGTCGATGGTGCATCGCCGCTGCCGTCTCTTTCTCCATGTATGCGTCGTCGTCCAAAGATAAAGGCCCATTCCGTATATGGCTTCTCTCATCACTCGTCGACGTCTCGGTACAATGGATCTGGAGTCACAGTCGAACGAATCTGAAGGCCGATGAAAGCTAAGGTGTTTTTCAGCGGCCGACGACGAGATGGTTGGGGTGGGTCGGTTGGATTTTACGTTTTAATAGGATATAGTTATATATTTATAATCATTTGTATGTAGTAGTTATTAATTAGTAGTGATTCTGATTATAATGTGCAGTGATTTTTCTCAACTATTGGCAGTGGTTATCATAGTTATAATAGCATTTTTTTCGTTCATAGTGTTTTTTTTAATATATATTTTGTTGTAGTGATTCTTCTTAACAATTGACAATCGCTACAAATTAAAAATTGTTAAAACACTACTAATTGTATGAAAATCACTATAGACCCTCCAAAAAACACTACTATCAGCCTCCAAAATCATTCATCGCCATTGATTAAAAATCCTAAAATCACTACTATCACCCAAAATAACTACTTAAATCTATCAGCCAAAATGATTGCTAATTTAAGTAGTAACGAATTTATTAGTATTTTTCCAGTAGAAAATGACTAATAAATATAGGAGAGAGAAATTAGATTTTGAATTTTAATTTATATATTAATATTAATTGTGTTAAATACCAAACAAGCCCATCATTATCAACTATAATCATATTCAATTTTAAAAATAGATGGTGAATAAAGTTGTTAATACGATGCTAAATCCTATGAAGTTAACACGATAACTTCTCCCCTAAATATGATTCTTGGATTACGTTTCACTTGCAGAAACTTTGCTAGAATTTTTCATTATGGATTGGATTGTGTTTAAGGGCTTTTTGTTTTTTGTCACTATGTTTAAGGGCTGTAGCAGGCCCAGCCCACACCAAAAGGAGCACAACGGAAATTCATAAGCCGACCTAGTCATAGTATCGTCCATCCAATCCTAACCCAGCCCAAGCGCCGATTAAGTCCTATCAACTCCCGTCCACCCCACTAGACGACAACTGATCCCCCAATAATTCACCTTCCTTCTCCTTTCTATCTATCGGGTTCCTCTCGCATAAGCAGAGCAAGTCACCAACAATGGCGACATCCAATCCGAAATGTTCATCCTACACCAAATACGAGACCCGAACACGAAACCCAGACCCGAAAACCTCCATCCTCCTAGTAATCGACGCCCAGAACCACTTCTCCTCAATGATCGACCCAATTCTCCCGAACCTCCTCTCCACAATCCAACTATGCCGCCACGCCTCGGTCCCAGTCCTCTTCACCCGCCACAACCAAAAATCCCCCGAAGACTATGGCATGCTTGCGGAGTGGTGGGACGGGGATCTGATCATCGATGGCACGCCGGAATCCGAGCTAATTCCCCCAATTGCGGAGCTGGCAGCAGAGGAAGGCGGCGGCGAGGTCATCATCGAGAAGAGCACCTACAGCGCCTTCGCACAAACTGGGCTTCAGGAGAAATTGGAAGAGATGGGCGTCAAAGAAGTGATTGTGACGGGAGTTATGACGAATCTCTGCTGCGAAACCACTGCCAGGGAGGCGTTCGTGAGAGGGTTTCGAGTTTTCTTCTCCGCCGACGCCACCGCCACTTCGGATGTGGATTTGCACGACGCCACAATCAAGAATTTGGCTTATGGGTTTGCTTACTTGGTGGATTGTGACCGACTTCAAGTTGCATTTTCCCTAAAGTAGGAATTTTCTTTGAATTACTCTAAATAGAATAAGTTGGACTCTGTTACTCTGTTTATGCAACATGGTAAACAGGGGATGGTGGATTCAGTTCGAAATGATTCCGTTTATAGTCTCAATCGGTGTACCATCAATATGAACTTGCATCCTCTCCATGAATTTGTTGACAAGAGGGAAGAAGCAATTTGGTCCGACAACAGAATATGGAATATCAGGGGAGGGAAGGGTATATGTAAGATGGTATTACTCTGACCAAAATGTTTGATCAGCTTGGTCAAGATTTCATTTTTTACCCCTCGAGTAAAGTCCATCCAACTAATCTTCACACTACCTCTGTATCCAATTGATGCTCGAATTTTTTTGTTTAGTCTCTATAATCAAGACGTTCGAATGACATTTCTCGTCTTTTAGACAAAACATTTGTTCAACATAAACTGATGTGGCAAAATTCTGTATATTTTGAAAAGCAAGTATGTATGGTTCTAGACTGAAAGCTCATTCTATTGATTCCCGAGACGTGAATGTCAAAGGAGTCTAAGCGATTTGCATGACCATAGAACCATCTCAAAGCACCTACTCTGTTCATTTATTCGATTAAAACGCGTGTTCTCCTTGTCGTTAGATCACAAATTATTTAGGCAACACAAATTCTAAAGTTTGCGAGTCCTTAAAGGTGATGTAGATAGATGTTCCATTAGCTAACAACACCACCTGCCCCTTGCACAAGTGCCACTTGGTAGTTGACCAATTGCAGGCTCAAAGCTTCAAATGCAAGCCTGAAGTTCCCATCCAGAGTTGCAGAGTTATGGGAAAAGGAATAGAATCAACCCAATACATCAAATGGTATGGTCAACTGTGGGAATTTGTTCTTGAGAGGAATGGACAAGCCAATCCATTCCATATGGAGAAAAGAAAGGAAAGTCTTCCATTGGAATTTGACAGCCTCAAACGCAAGTGCATGTATGCATCCTGTGAACATCTATAAATAGGCAAAGGTTGCAGCATACACACACAACCATCAATATCCATCCATTCTAGAGACATTACAGATGAGTAGCCAGCCAAGAAGAGTGGCATAACATGAAGAGAAAGAGTCACTTGTTTGGTAGCCAAGAATGACTTGCCTGCAAACATGACGTGAGGGGCATCTAGCACCTCTATCTTGTCTGTTTGTCAGGCAGTCATTCTGGCTATGCTGACTGACTCTTCTCATTCATGTTAAGGCTTCCTCTTCTCGTGAGACTGGCATTTCGAAGAGCTGTTTGTGGTGTTAAGAGGGTTGAGAGTATATGTGGAGGAGGGTCTTACATGAAGAGAAGTGATTTGTTTGCTAGCCAAGGATGACTTGCCTGCTATACATGCATTATGGTTTTTATGATCATGAAGCTCGAAACCTTTTTGGATACACACCAGGCAGTCTCCTTTGGCTACTCTGACAAACACTTCTCATTCATGCCAGACCTTATCCTTTCCAGAATGATTGATGTTGTATGAAAGTTTGATTCAACATTTTTATGGTTTTGCGGTGTCCAATGGAAACTTCTTTATCATTGACACCCTTCATATGTATGCATGATACAATTGGTTGGCTCCATGTGTTTGATTTGCTCCTCATAGTAGATTGCAATGTGCAAATGACCAATGCAGTCAAAAGCGCGATTCAACCTAGAAGCGGAAAAGGGGTAAAATCGTAAAGCGTAGAATTAAAGCGTAAGTTTTTGACGCATACTGTAAAAGAACTAAAAATATGTTAAGTACGACATATACTATGAAAAATATGAGTGCACAAAATTCAGATAAGTTGATAAATACTTGCAATTTATGTCTAAAGTAGAGCAACTTATAGCCTCATAATTAATAATAAGTTCATAAATATAAATCTTATAAAAAAGTCACCTTCCCCTCCATGCTAATGAATTTGAGAAGAGCCTAGATAGTGAATTAGATTATTTTATTGAAGTTCATAATGCATCCAAGTATCTGGTATGTATCTTTTAATCTTAAACATATCATATTGTCGATGATTTATTTTTAAAATTTACTTTATATAACTAATTTCATGAAAAGAAGAACCATTCAGTGAAGTAAAAGCGTAAAGCGTTTTAGTGAACTAGAAGCGTAAAATCATAAGTTTTTAAGTTTTAAAGCGCAATTTAATATGATTTTATACACTAAAGTTTTTACATAGAAACGAAAGCGTTTTGGTGACCTATAAGCGTAAAACAGTAAGTTTTTAAGTTTTAAAACGCGATTTTGACTGCATTGCAAATGACCCTTCTCTTCTCAATCACATGATGCAAACCAAGAGAGAATTGTCTGAAAGCGTCGGGTGGGTTTCATTTATGTAATGTCGCTTTTGTTATAAGGGTATGCTCAAAGAGCAACGGAAAGAAAAAGTGGGTAAACGGCTTAAAGTGGGTTTCAAATGTCACATATGAAAGAGAATGGTTTGGTTTTCAACTTGAACCAGCAGACTATGAACTAAACACTACATATCTCAGTTGTGCTTCAAATTTATAATCTTAAAGGGACAACGAAAACTCTGCCATATTACTGTTTCCAGTGAAGAAAATCTTGTTAAATGAGTACGATGGGAAACCCATAAAGACCAATATAATTTTGTTATATAAATTCTTATTCTATCTCAACCCTTAGTTACCACATTGTTGGAAGAGGTGCAAAGACAATCAAGATAAGGTCTTGAGATGGATAGTCCGCGATGTCTTGGTGGGACCACTATAAGAGGAGATTCAATAGTGGAGATCGTTGTGTTCGTCGTTTGTTGTTCACTTTCTCGATGTAAGGATTAATATGATAGCTCATTATGTGTACATAAAAGTCCTCTCTTTATACTCTACTCACATATGATAGATTATGATTTTCGATTATGGTTTGCTCAACTTGCTCTATTGTATTTGGATGTTGTATCTATATTTTGATTGTTAATTCATGTGATCTATTATAAGAATGTTATATTTATTGTTACTTGATGAAAATAAAAAGGACCACTATATAAGAAAAGAAACCATTGCCACAGATCTTTGCTGTTTTAGGGAGGAGAAGGTACATCTAATTTTGGAGCATGCAAACATAATCTGAAAAGGAAGATCAATAAAGAGGATGCCAGTAGGATGTGTATTTCTTCTTAAATAGTAAGGATAATACTGATAATTAATAAAGCAACTGTATGTGGCTACCACTTTATTTATAAGAATATTTCAGATGCCTTGCAGACTGCAGCTAAGCTTCTTCATCTCTCCGAGAATCCGTTCCTATGAAAAAAATGATTTTTATTACTGAACATCACTCGTATTAACAAGACAAAAAGTTTTCATAAAAAACAAGATTAAAGTTATACAAATGAAAATTTTAAAAGAAGCCAAGCAAGAAAATTAAAACCACAACTCGTTACGTTAAACAAATAAATACATTCTTAATCTTCCATGAGCTACTCTATTATTTTGCCTGTCAATAAATCGAACTAAAAACATCGGGGAAAATGTTAATATTTGACAAAGCTTTACATAGATAGCACCTCCTCTTCAACTTGAACCAACTCAAATATAAGATATTTGAAATACCTGAATTCAAATTCGTTGTTTGGATACTTATTTATAATTTATTGATATTTCAAATTTTATAAATTTTTATTATAATTTTAAGTTTTCTAGTCACTTACTACAAATTTTGGTATATTATATTTTGATACTCAAATATTTTTTTTAATTAAAATCTACTACCTAAACTTTAATTTATTTACAAAAAAGTCCTGAAATATTGGTGATAAAATTACATTTTGATACGTATGTTTTGCCCCACATTGTAATACCTAAACTTTTAAATTTTTACAAAACAGGTCCAATCCATTGTAAGGAGGAATTCCAAATCACTAGCTGTTTGTTGAAATGTATTTGAATTTGACAAGTAATACAATTAGACATTAATTTGGAAATCACCCCATGAATTTGACACAAATCCAAACCCAAATTATAATTAATATCCAAACAAATGATTCGACATTTAAAAATCTAAATCCAAATTCTTTTATCGAAACACACTACTAAGAAGAAATGATGGAATTTAAAAGGGGAGCCTTTTGTGTAAAATTCGATGTCATGCTTTTCATACCAATAACTCGAACAATTCACAGAATCAAATATACATTTTCGTACCAAATCTGATCGATAGGGAGGAGAGAAAAACTCAGTATTTTCGTGAAGCTGCCAAATCTGTGAAAAAGACATGATATACAACAATTATGTTCTGGCAGGGACCAGCTCTGTTCGTACCGGATAAGGGCACAATTATTATATTGCAGAGAAACGACGACTCTATCTGCCGTTTGTGAGGGGACGACACCTCAAACCGATAGAGGGGCCCATGTTGTCATTGTGTGTGACTTTAAATATGCTTCACTACTTTTGATCTTTGGACTTAATAAAGGTCAACCGTTATGGCACGAAATCTCAACAGATATGGAGATCGAGGAAGGGAATATATTCCATTCCATTTCATGCATATGGAGAATGGAGAAAAAAAAAAAAAAGAAAAGAGATGGTCACGAATGAAAGTTTCTGGTATTGTGCAGAACCGAAAGATCAGTGCAGGAATCGGTATTCTTTATCTTTGTTCCCCACCATGCGTAGCTATAAATAGAGGGGGCTCCTTGGAGCCAAACATAGGAACATTGCAGCTAGCAGAACACATGCATGAGAAAAGAGGTCTAACAAGAAGAGAGGAGCTTCTTCCGTTTGGTAGCCAAGGATGACTTGCCTGCTCCTAAACACATGCATGGATTTCGACTTCTATAGTTGTGGAGTTGAAATCTCTTGTTATAGGTTTCAGGCAGTCTCCTTGGCTAACCTGGCAAGCTCCTCTCCTTCGTGCCAGACCCTCTCATTCTCTCCTAAAACCTTGGCGCAACGTAGTAGTTATTCCTCCCGGAGGTTATTTTCCTTTTCTTGGTACGTTATAAAGACCATGCTAGCTAGCTGAAGGTTCTTTCTATATAATTTACTGTTTCATATCCAACAATTCTTGCTTCTCATCTTCTGTACTGCTTGCTGGTCATGGAAATGATGAAGAGGCCTGGGAATTCTTCGAAGAGGGAAGTGGCAGGACAGGTAGATGCAGTGCATTTTCCATGCAAATGAGATATATAGGATGTGAAAATGCATGGTTTTGGAGACGACCGAATCAAGTGTTGTTTTGCTGCTTCACATCTTCATTGTATGATGCTGGAGCTGTCCGAGACGTACGTTTATGAACCAACCAATGAGTACAGTGTTCTCATGATGATCATTTCCTAAGAAATATTAATGGATTGAGAATTTTGGCGTGATTGGTAGGTGCAAAGGTTAAAATTTGATATATTTAAATAAATAATGAAGCAAGGATTTGATCTATTGGTTCGGGTCTTCAATATAGAGGTCTCATTTTCAAAATTTTAATTATTATCTAATAATAAAAATAAGGATTAATATTTTTGTATGGTCTGAACTTTGACCAAAATAAACATCCTAGCCAATCTTTTTGATCTATAACATCCTGGCCCGAACTATACACCAAAATAAACAATTTGGCCAGATCCGACTTTTGACCGTTAACTTGGACGGTCAAACGCGTTGACCGTTAGTCAACGTGCCATGTCACTGCCAAGTCAACATAAAATATTTAAAATAATTCACAATTTCCACACAATTCCTAATTTTAAATTATTACAAATTAAAAAAATTATATAATACCTTAGTTAAACCAAAAATAAAAAACGAAAATAATTAAATATTTATCAGATCTTCTAACTTGGCAGTGACGAGGCAGTGACGTGGCGAGTTGACCGTTAGTAAACGCGTTTGACCGTCCAAGTTAACGGTCAAACATCTGGTTTGGCCAAATTATTTATTTTGATGTATAGTTCGAGCCAGGATGTTATAGATCGAAAAGATTGGCCAAGATGTTTATTTTGGTCAAAGTTCAGGCCATACGAAAATGTTAACCCTAAAAATAAACATGTGTCATCCTTATAAACAAAAGAAAGAAAACAAATACAAAGCATGAACTAATAATATTAAAACGAGTGCATAGTAAAATATAATGTTTATTATTGCAATAATATTTTATCACCACTGTTCCATACAAAAAAAGCAAGCAAATACCCAACTACCCTTTCGACATAAGACGTCTCCTTAAGATGGGTAATGGAGGGATTAAGTGATTTTTAGACTAATCCATTCACGCATATATGGTTAGATGAGTGGTGAAAAGATAATTCACACTCTTTTACCGTATTCACCCAAACACATATTGAGTGAGCTAGTTATAATTGGATGAATTCAAATAGATTTTTTTTTTGTCCATCTCCACTTTAACTGCAAATTCTCTCGGAGTAGTTCTTAGGGAAATCATATTGTTCTACTATGACATCAATACAACTCACATCTGTTAGACATACACATATTCTCCTCTATATAGGGTTATCAGTATAATAAAAATTAAATTACCATCGCAGGCTTATACGAGCAAAACTTGCTACTTTTGTTTAGAACCATCCACGATCCATTGACTTTTTATGAGTGAATCAAAGGATTGAAAGGAATTGATAATTTTTTTTTTTTTTTGACAACGAAAGGAATTGATAAGCTATATATAGCTAGAATTAATGATAGAAACAAAAAAGTATGTCTTCAAATCACCCTTTTCCTTATTCTCTCATTACTTTTATAATTGGGAGTTGACTGTGTGTTATATTTGTCACTCAATTATTTGATTTGATTTACTCTACTAGCTTGTAGCCATGACAAAGAGTGATCAGCTCAAAAAACAGTACCAAGTGTTTGATGTGCAGTTTATTGATAGGCAAAACAATTAGGTGGCCCACTTGATGGTTAGAAAGGTCATTTCTTTATTTCCTACTAGCGTGTTGGGATTTTATTTTAGTTTTTGGCTTTTGTCGGAGATAGTGAACTTTTTTTAATCTTTGTTTCCTTGATAATTCAAGTGAGCTATTGACAAATTGCTGGGAGTTTATCTTTGTCTCCTTAGAGTGTTATTTGCCCCCACTACAAATTGCTGGTAGGCTCGAGCAAACTACCCCCAGGAGTCCCTTCAATTCTAAGTCTGGAAGGAGCAATCTTGCAGACTTCTGTGTTTATGAAATAGAGAAGGAAAATATGAAGAAGAAGTAATCTCACGTATTAAAAGAGTAATGGTAGTCTAATATTTATAGTTGTGAAAATTGAAAACTGAAAGTTACCTTCCGAAGATACACATCCTTTCACAGAAATAGGTAGTTACCTTTACCGAAAGGACACATCCTTTCATAGAAAAAAGAGAAGTTACCTTTCGGGAAGGACACTTCTTTTCACAATATTCAAACATTAATTAATCAATATAAAAATTAATTAATTAATTAAACGGTCAAAAAACGCAGATCTTATACTTTCTTTCTCCCATCAATGTGGTATTACAACTCTATTGACTAACTCGAACACTCACTGTATTCTAAATTTCAATTTTGGAGACCACTAATCATCTAAAAAGGTTCCATGTATTCTAAATTTCAATTTTGGAGACCACTAATCATCTAAAAAGGTTCCATACATACGCAGACCGTAGTTGCGATGCAAATATGCTTTATTGGCTAGCAACATTCCACAAGTGTCACTTTGCACTGTAGTTGACCATTTCGAGACTCAAACATGCTTCAAATTCCAGCCTTAAGTCCACAATGGGACTTTGAGATCGAGTTGGAGATCATGGAATATAATCCACCAAATGCAACTCATGGTTTTGTCAACTGTATTGGAATATATTCTCAGAGGAATGGGCGCAATGCAACCCATTAGGCAATGAAGAAAAGGAGGAAGGTCATCATCGATTAGAATTTGACAGCTTTTAACATTAGTGCATGCTTCCTCCTTGCTCATCATCTATAAATAGGGAAATATTGCAGCAAGCTTGTATACTCCACAACCAAGACCATCACTTGACGACGAGCAGAAGAGTGGCATAACATGAAGATGAAGAGTCTTGTTTGGTAGCCAAGAATGACTTGCCTGCAAACATGTTATGGGTTCAATTGACACCTTTCAATCTGTTTGTCAGGCAGTCATCTTGGCTATGCTGACAGATTCTCCTCGTTCATGTTAAGCCTTCTCTTCTAAAAATCAATTCTAGTGAAAAAGCGAAAAAATAATAGTGGCATTATGAGGAGCTGATCAAGGAAAAGGGTAGTAAGGCGGAGGAAAGAGGGTCTTACATGAAGAAAAGGGTTTTAGTTTGCTAGCCAAGGATGACTTGCCTGCTATCTCATTATGGTTTTTTGGTCATAAATGAACCTTAAACCTTTTTTGAACGCCAGGCGGTCTCCTTGGCTATTCTGACAAGCCCTTCTCTTTCATGATAGGCCTTTCCTTTTCATTGTTCTCCTAACGTATAATAATACGACTTGTTTATCATCGGTTCACTTAATATGAACAAACTCTCATAAATTTTGTGCAGCCTTATGTAAATTTCGATGTAAGTGGTTGTTCATTCCTTTAATCTTGTCGTCGTTTGGATAACAAAAAAAAATTGAAAATGAAGGTTTGAGTCAAATCTTTGAATTTGGAAAATGAATGATTTAAGATGGCATTAGAAATTATTGATTGAAAATTAGATTTATGATGTGTAAAATTTATGTGTTTAGAGTTGAATTTAACATATACCACCCTTGTGTTTTTTAATAATCATTGGATAAACATTGTTCATTCATCTTCTTCGATCTCTCTCCCTAGGCAGGCCAGGCAAGCCTCCACGACTCCACCAGTATACTTTCCAGGTTGGTGGTCTCATCCTTTGGTGAAGCCATTCTCTTCTTTCCCTTTCCGACCTCCACTGTGTGTTTGTGTTGCGAGGTGAGCCGTCGGATCGTGGAGGGTCGGGTCTTCTCCGGTGGTTGTGGTTGGTAATCGGTGTTCTCCGTGGAGATTTGTGGCTCCCTTGGGATCTTCTGCTCCGCTTCAAACATGATGTCTCTGCCTCAGCTTCCTCTGCCTCTGTCAGCTTGGAGCAATCCGTTCATATCCTTATCCATCGCCATGCAATCTTGTTTCTAGGATTCACCGTGATGGATGCCTTTGAGTCATCCCCAGGAGGCGGCATATGGTTGATGTGATCCCTAGCCATGGATTTCGAGTTGATCGGACAAGCTGATTTCGCTCTTGTTGCATTCTAAGTGGTTGATTGCAAGAGAGATTTCTGATGTACTGATTTTTTCAAGGGTTCTGTTCTGTTGGATGGTTGCTGTCAATCTGTGTTGTGTTCTCTGTTCTTGCTTTTGCTTTTCATGGTTTGATTGTAACCGAGTTCCCTTTTCCTTCCTCTTGTTGAACCAGAATGTTGGTTTATTGTCTCTTTGTAACTGACGAGTTAAAATGCAATAAAGACTCTCCTTTGTCCAAAAAAAAATTCTACTTTTTCTTCATTTTTCTCCGTAAAACAATATTTTCTCTACCTTTCCAAATTTTCATCCTCTCGAAAGTAGAGGTATATGATCTCACCACCACTTGTTGTCAGTGGAATTGTTGGGGCACTCAATTTCTGAGAAGATGATTTCGACATCCATCCCACCACTTGTTGTCAGACAGTCATGGCCAAGCTGCGACGGCTCTACGTTTCGCGAGGAGGCACACAACAGCACTCGTATGAGCCCGCAAACTTTTTGAGGCCCATGCATGTTCAATTCTGCGACTTTATAATAATATGCTTTAATCCTTTCTAGAGACAGGTCAGCCATTGTGGTCTGACGAGATCTCAGATATGGGAGAAAAAGCTATATATAGCTAGGGTCAGAGAATATATTCCATTTCAAACTTTCATGGAGGAATGAACAATAAGAGAATGGTCACGAATGAAAGTTACAGTTTCCGGATCGGGCAGAATATCGAAAGCAAGAATGAATTATATATATCTTTTTGTTCCCCCATAAAACAACGCGTCGTAGCTAGCTATAAAAGGAGAGACTCCTTGAGCCGAATCCGTGAGCAACGCAGTGGAGCAAGCGAGTTTAGAAACACGATCGAGGGAAGAGGTCTAGCAAGAAGAGAGGAGCTCGTTTGGTAGCCAAGGATGACTTGCCTGCTCCTAAGCATAGTTGAAAAATCTTGTTTATGTTTTCAGGCAGTCAACTTGGCTAACTTGACAAGTTCCTCTTTTTCATGCTAGGTTCTGTCCTTTTTCTCTTGACGAACGTTGTGATTAGCTCGATCTCACGCAAGCTAAGTATATATCGATCATCATTTAACAGTACTTGGCTTCTCCCAAAGGTTATCTTCCATTTCTTAGTTATATGCGCAGGCTCTATACTTACTATGATTACCTTGAAGCACAGACTGTGGCTGCTGATCAAGACGCGTATGTGCACATCTCCCCGCCTGGCAAAAGCCTCCTCCCGGGCGTACGTTGTGATTTAATGGAGTTTTTAGCGTCGGCTTGGCAATCCGTCGCAAAATGTCGTCGCTATTCATTATGACGAGCCGCTGGGTTGTATGTCCGGGCCGTCGGGAACCTTCGGTTCGGTCCATGCCGGACGACGTTACGTTGTTTATGGGGCCACTATACCAACAATTTGATATCGTGTACCGAGACTCTTATTTTTCTGTCCTTAGAGGCTTGATTTCTATGGATGAAATGAGCTCTCGGGTTTAATTCAAGTGTAAAAAAAAGGCTCTATAGAATGATCATCCTAAGTCAAACTTAGATACATTGGTTATATGTACAATTTTTTTTTTTTTTTGATGAATTATATGTACAATTTTTCTTGACCCCATGGATGGTAACATTTAGCTGCATTATGTGCAGTGTGACTACTAAAAATGTATGGTTAATTTCAGTAACAAAACAAAATGATCGCTAAATAATGGATGACTTGGTTGCGTTTCATATTTTTAGTGTGACTAATCATGGCCATAAGCATAAACGCCTAGTTATATTCTGGTGACGAACACATTATTGGCGTCCATTCCGATTTTGATTTTCCAAATGATTACTTTCCGCGTTCAATTGGAGGTGATAATTTGAATATAATCTATTCATTAAAAAATTCAACTAGTTCAATTCATTTAGCACAATTTTAATTGGATTGGTGGATCCACGAATTGCATGAAAATTATAGTTTAATATCTACATATTATATATTTTATGATTTGGTATCTAACTTCAAAATTTAATGAAAATATTCTTCAAAACTATATTTTCATACCTAATTTTTTCTGATTACATTTAGTAGCAAATAATCTCAATATTTTTCATAATGATAAAAAAACGTAACTTAAATATTAATTGGGTTAACCAATCTAATCCATCAATTTACCAATCTATAAATTTAATTCATTTTTCACTCTACCCCAATCCCCGATAAATAGGTCAGTGACTGTCATAGTGTGGTGTCGCATGCGCGTGATGGCGCCCCAATTTATTTGATCGCTAAATGTGGTTATTCCTTCCGGCCGAATAATTTTACATGTTCATCACGTGCGTTTTATTTACAATGAATAATTTTACCTCTTTATTTACAATGAATAATTTTACCTTAACCAGCCACTTTTAATTTGGTGCATGGATTCGATGAAACAAGAACTCAATATATCCCGATCGAAGCTGCACAATTGTGGAGTGGGGGAAAGATTTTGATATCCCAAAATTAAAGATGATTTTTCCGATGTGTTACAAAGGCTGGACCAGCTCTGTTATTCTCTGCCGGATAGTCATGGCCATTTTCGCTCAGCTAGAATCCAGATTATATTGTTCACGGAATGGCCGGATAGTGGCAGAAGGAATGCAATGCAATGCGACGACTCTACGTTTCGTGAGGGGACACACCAGAAACTGATTTGAAAGTGAGGGCAAAAGGGAAGACAAATTAAGGCTTCATTGGTTTCGCCTAGGAATGAGAGTTTGGGTTGGGTGGTAGGATTTGGTTCAACTCATTTGGATCTGACGCAAATGGTTCTATTTGGTTTTAGATGATTATTGTACATATAAAAACATATTATCTATCATTTCATTAATTGTCTTCAATTTAATTATACCTTATAGTGTTATGGTGTTTCCACCTTTTAGTTTGTTTCATAAAAAAAACAAGGCAAGTATTCAATAGTACGAGTCTAATTTAGATCCAAATTAAAAAATTGAATATAAAACTACCAAATGCCAAATTAACCAAATCTGATTTTACCATACTAAGAGGAATTTGAACAATATCCAAATATTGAGTATTTTATTTTTTTATCATTCTAGTTTCATCATGAGCTGCAAACTTTTTTGAGACCCATGTTGTGTGACTTTATATATGCTTCCAATTACTTTAGTTGCTGGATGAGTAAGGTCAACCATGCATTAATATGGAGTACATGAAATCTCAATTAAGATATGGAGAGAAGGACACAGAATATATTCCATTTCACGATTGCATGGAGAATGGAAAGGAAGAGATGGTCACGAATGAAAGTTTCCGGATTTGGCAGAATATTGGAAGAAAGCAAGAATCGGTTATCTTACAACTTGTTCCCCACAAAGCAAAGCTATAAATAGAGAGACTCCTTTGAGCCAAACATATACGAGCATTATTGCATTGCAACGGAGCAAGCTAGCTAGAAACATGAGAAAAGAGGTCTAACACGAAGAGAGGATCTTCGTTTAGTAGCCAAGGATGACTTGCCTGCTCCTAGAATTACATGGGTTTCGACTTATGTGATCGTGGTTGAAATCTCTTGCTATAGGTTTCAGGCAGTCTCCTTGGCTAACTTGACAAGTTTCTCTCGTTCATGCTAGATCCGTTCTTTTCTCCTTCATGTTGAGCCCTTTTTTTTCTTATCCTCAATGGTATCTGCAGGCTTGTTGATAATCATTCATTCAACAACATTCTGCTTCTCAAAGTTTGTTTCCTTTGTATCCTTTAATGGCCCCCCACTGGTTATATTTACCTTTCTGATATTCATGACTTATTGCTTCGATCTCTCAGGTTACCTGCATGCAGATAAGAATGGAAGGATGTCCATGGCCGGACGGACACCACCTAATTTGTAAACCAGAGAAGGATCAATGATGAAGAAAGGAAGTGCTAGCTAGCTAGTCTACTTTACAAATTCCAAGTTGCGAGTAGCAGAACAGTGAGAAGGAGAAGGAGGAGTAGATGTATATATATTTGGCCTTAGTAACATTCTTTCCTTCTTTCGTTATGAGGAAAATTGGTCAATACGGCAAATCTCAACCCCTATAAATATCCGACAGACTCATAGGAACAATTTAATTTGAGGAATTGTGTATATATGAATGGTATAATAACTAAACTTGTATATATATCTCTAGTTATTGAGATATCAGTTCGTGATATAATATGATTCTTTGATTGAAAGATTTAAGTTTTAAAATCTTCGTAATCTCCAATATTAAAGCTTATTTATGTACAAAAGTATCATGAGTTGCTAATTCCTTATCGAGAAATTCACCTAACAGAGGACCAAATTTTGCGTCTCTCCTCCTTAAGCTTTTGAACTCCGTTCCCAAAGCTCCTCGTCCCAATCATCTATCTTTTGTGACGAATTGTACGTATTTTCTATGACCAGTTATTTTGCTCACCACGAACTTATTTCGGATCATTCCGATTTTTGTTGCCACATTATAGCTTTTCGCGGTTAAACAATCCATCAATGCGGTCAGGGACCAGTATTAATTAGCGTCGCATACCTGAAGGGTATGGCGACCAAACTCTATATTGTTTAAGCGAACTAATTAACCCTTTTAGCAGCTAAATAGTATACGCAACAAAAGTCTTTTGCCACTTAATTTCACGGTTGCAATTTATGGTAGTAGGGCAAATCCGTCGTAAAGAAGTAAATGATATATATAGTTAGCAAAATAAGATACGGGTAATACATTATGCTTAAATCAACTATGAAAATTTGAGATTGTGGAGATTCGAAGACGCTACTATTTGACCAAACTCATTCATATCATATCATAAACCAAATGATCTTAATAACTCGAGTTGTTGTAAGATTATGAATTTTATATTACTCTGTTTTCTGGTTAAGCAATACTAGGTATATCTTCATCAAGGTAAGAGTTCAATTTTCTGCTCTTATTAAAAAAAGTGCATATAAATATATTCAAATTTTAAACTTGTCAGCTCAATTTCTTGAGTGCATTAAACATATTATAATAATTTGATAAAATAAGACGACTCTACAACTCGTAAGCAAATGAAAATTTTATCTCATTTAGAGTTGTATGCAAGTATTAAACCAATTTTTCCAAACTAAGCTTCTGAGTAATGTTATTGGCTGGACGCATGCACCAGCTATGTTCTGATAATCTTGGCTAGGACTAGGGGTGTAAGTTTGATCCTTAAAATTCACTGACTTGCCTCGATCTTTAGAGTCGGGCTGTGTCAGTTTGTCTACAGGGTCGGTTTAGGGTCGGGTCAATTTAGGGCCGGATCACTTTTTGACCCTATGACCCTTCGCATCATACAAACACGTTGGACCAATTTGTAAAGTTTTGAAAGTTTAGGTACTAATTGTTAAAAAAATAATTTTGGGTACCAAATGTAATTTTACCATCAAATTTTTGGGACTTATTTGTAAAAATAGAATAAAATTTAGGTACTAAATGTAAGAAAAAAATAAATTTGGGTACCAAATGTAATTTTTAGAAAAGTTGTGTATTTATTAAGGTCGACCCACTGACCCGACCCTTTTTGACCCGCCCCAACCTTAAAGGGTCAGATAGGGTCATGAAAGAAATAAGGGCGGAGCGGGTCAATTATGCATCTTGACCCTTCAGGGGCGGGTCAGACAGGGTCAGGGGCGGGTTGGGCCAATTTTCAGCCCTAGCTAGGACAAGGCTACGGACACTCATAAGAATTACGATACAATTGTGATAGATATTTTAAGATCAAGAACAGGACCAACATTGCATTTGATCCGATATGGTCCTGTTTAAATGTCAATTTGATCTATTTTTCTTCAGTATTTATAAAACTTATGAATCAAGTACTCAACCACATTATATTCGGTTCAATATATATGATCTGATTCAAGCGTTGATTTGATCTGATACGATTCGGTACAAACCAAACCATTGCACCACGTTGGTATGGGTGCTTCGCGTCTAGAATGTAGTTTCCGATGTGGATGTATAACTACTGCATAATATTGCAGAGCGATGCGCGACTCTACGTTCCATGAGGGGACACCTCAAGTTGATCGAAAGATGAGCGTTTAGTGGATCGGAAGGGATGAAAAGGGAGAGAAAGGCTTCATTGGTTGCACAACACTTGTATGATCGGCCCATGTTGAGTGACTTTATATATGCTTTCATTCCCTAATTGCTAGAATAAGGTCAACCATGTAATATGGGCATGCGAGATCTCATCAAGATTTATGGAGAGAAGGGAAAGAGAACATATTCCATTTCATGGAAACATGGACACTATTGATAAGAGATGGTCACAAATGAAAGTTTCCGGATTGGGCAGAATTTGAAGAACGCAAAGAATCAGTCTTTGTTCCCCACGGCCATAATGGATAGCTATAAATAAAGGAGAGACTCCCTTTGAGCTTAACATATGAGCATTGCATTAAGTGCAAAGTGAGTAACATGAGAAAAGAGGTCTAACATGAAGAGAGGAGCCTTGTTTGGTA